AGTTGTTGGTGGTTGTCTCTGTTTTTCAAACTTTATTTTTTCATTTTATTCTTTTTATGAACATAAAATTGATCCAATTGAATGCCTCAATTTCCATGTTTATTTTTCCTTATTTTCAATATTTGTGCAATTGCATAGCAATTGATTCATTTTTTAACCATGGCTATTTCAGTCTTTGTTGTTTATTCGACATCTGGTAAATTGGAGGACATTCTTTTTCTCATGCCATTCAGTCCGGTAAGTGTTTATTTGATTCGGATGCATAGTAATATTTTTTTTTATGATGTGGGTAACGTTTACTGCCGTACAATAATTTAAATGTAATTAATTTTGGGTTATACACTGAATTTTGGTTTTTAGAGTGTCTTTGATTGGGCTACCTCACATCAATTCTATAAGGCCCTCGTTTGAGTCATCACAATGGGCACATGTGGAATGAGGCTGCTATGTTGTTATGATGGTTTTTTCGAGAGAAGTCTAAATAATGGATGAATTTGTTTACGGGCGGGAATGTGAAAACTACAGTATATAATGGAAGTCACTCATTTGAATAGTTAAAGGCACATAAAGGGGTACATCATGTGTGACCCATGCAATCTGACAATTATGTATCAAAAAAATGATGATTTAGTAGACTTAATCAAAGACGGAGATGTGACATGTATGTTATGGGTGGCTTTCCATGCTCATGTATGTATTGCAAAGAAGCAACACACAGGGAACAACAAGAGTACCTTAGTCTCTATTGATCTTCTAAATAATAAGTTCGGACTCGGCCAAGGCAATACTTCAAGCATTCTATTTTCGCTAGATTTCATATGTGAACACTTGGCTCATCAACCCTAAACAAAGGCAATTTGGATATCTTTTAAGATATTTTTGAAGTGATACCTAAATGAAATGAAAGTTAAAAAGTAAACTCTGTTATTAATTAGAATTTTTCTCTCTCCCCTTTAAATGATCCTTTGCTTAATAGTATTCCTTCCTATAAACTTTGAGCATGCTCCTCAAGAGCATATTGTATGCTATATTGTATGCTATATCCCTTGGGAGATCTACAATAAAATATATTCTTTCAATTAGAAAAATTGATATCCAGTTAAAAATCTGTAGTTGATTATTTTTAAAAAACAAAAATTGGATATTGAATTACTTAACACCTGGATTTCACCCTCCGAAAATTACAAGGTCTTTGCGATCTTGTGTAATATTTTTTGAAAGGAAATTTTTCAAAATACCCATGAGAGATGAACTATTTGACATTTTGCCAAATTACAACTATCCAACTCAAGACAATGCATTTTTATAGGTATATTGAAAATATATGAGTAAAGAATTAAATTGTTCATCTCTTATGTGTAATTTGACAAATTTGACTTTTTGAAACACATATGCGATATTCTAAAAGTTAATTTCTAAGTTGTATATGCTACATCTCTAAAATTTAAGAAAAAATGTATCGGGAGACCATTTACCTTTAGTACAAAGTGGCCACAATTAATATTGATCATTGGATGAGAAATTAGATGGCTGCATTTATTCTATTGACCAAATTTAAACTTTAAAAGAAATTTTCTACAACTTTGCAACATACTCAAGCTATCAGATTTTGCATTGGATGGTTATAAATAATGGTGTAGTTTGTATAAAGCTTAGGCTCTAAACATTCAAATTAAAGTGCACATTCAAATAGTATCGAGAAATATGGTTTCAATACTAAAAATATTTGTGATAGCTTTAAAATATATTTTCATCTTTAAGTATAAAATTTAAAAATATAAAAACACATATCTATAAAAACTTAAAAATCTTGAAAATTGACGGTCCAAAAATACGTTACAAGATGTACTATTTTCAAAACTTGAAATCCATTTTTTCTCATATCCATGTATCGTGATGTTGAGAGGATCAATTTGACGATATTTGGGCATCAAAACAAACTCTTCTAGTGGAATTTTTTACTTGGGCTCTAATTTGATTGTTTAGATGCTCGGCTCTATATAAAATTTTTCCTATAAATAATCAGTGACTTCGTTTTTGTATACAATCTCAAATTTTAGAGCACTAAAAGCTGATGGATTGGTATTTCTTATGGAAGTAGAAAATCTTTTGGCTAATTTAAAATTTTGAATATCAAACAATTTCGTTGACACCGGAAAACCCCATGGTTATGACAATGGTTTCCCTGACTGTGAAAATACATCAACGTTTCCGGGAAAGACAAATGCTGCCCCAGACTCCCAGTTGAGTACGAATTGAAGCGGCTGTATTTTACAAGAAAGAAGAGGGTACTGTTTTCATTGTACTTTGTGGATGGACGCAGAAGAAAGGAAACCTAGTAAGCAGCAGTCCACGTGAGTCAAGAAAGCAACCTGCTCAATCTAATATAACACAGTTTCCCAGGATTTAATCCCGGTAAGATCGCCGTCAAAGCACGTTTCTTTGTTAGAAGACCTAGAGAGAGAAAGACGGTCATAAATAAGGGAAAAAAAACAAAGAAAATTGTTTCATGAGGGCTCGACCGCATTTCTATACATGCACTCCAAAAAGTGCAAATCATCCATCTTAAAGAATTCCATCTAGAAAACAATGGCAGCTACTGTCCAAATATTTTATTATTAAAATTATTATTTTTAGTTTTAAAATTTTATTTATTTTTCATATTCATGATTTTCATGATAGATATTACATATCCTTAAAAATTAAAGCTTAAAATATTTCTCAAAAATAGATTTATTAAAAGGCCCGCATTTCTATATATGCGAGCTTGACAGCATAAAAACCGGGTAAAAAAATAAATAAATCAAATTTCCCTTTATAAAACTGAAATAAGAAACCCCTTTTCTATAATATGGAGGCTCTTAGCCTCACACTTCTTCATCAGCTCTCTCTAGTTTTTAAATATGGCAGTATAACAAATTAGATTGGAATCGAATTGGGCACTTACCGTTTCCGCATGCATGTATGTTAAAAAAAAAAGGGAAAAAAATTAAATATTAGGAGAAATGTGTCAACTTTAAACAATAAAAAAGGCGCACCTCTAAATTTTATTGATAGTGCAAGACATCTTTCTGATAGTTTGATAATATTTTTAATTAATTATGCAATTTAAAGTTAAAAAATAATATAAATTGAATAAATCTATAAACACTTAAAAACCTTAAAAATAGATTGTCCAAATAATGTTTTACAAAACACAATATATATGACTTCAAAACCATTCTTTTTACATCCATGTACCTCAAAGTTGAGGAATTGAATTTAAGGGCTTTTCAACATGAGAACTATGTTTATCTATAGGTTTTGAAGTGTGCCTTACTTGTATTGATGCATTATACAAAATTTATCCTTTCTTTTTTTAAACATAACAGGAGAACAAGGGGAGGAATGCACTTGCTGCCGTAAGCAAGCAACCAAGAGAGAGAATGTGCTTGAAGTTGTGCGTGTGAGTTGGACCAACAAGTAAGAGAGCAGCGTAGGCCAGAGAATGGAAATGGCATGTGGGCAGCGTAGTGGTGGAATGGAGTGCAAGACCATGATAATGATCCTGGTCTTGATATGATAAAAAGAGGAATGACCATTTTTTCCCTATTTTTAATGGAATTTATCCTTTATTTTTATAATTGCGAAAAGAAGAAGGGGGAAGGCCTGGCCCCCGCTGCGGGATTCCCGAGCACATAAGTAACTCACAATTGGACTCAAATATTGTATTTGAAATTTAATTTAAAAATTGAGACATTGTTAAAAAAAGGGAAACGACGTCGTATAAAATATGTAAAACCGGATTGGGTGTCAGACTCCCGTGTTTACCGCACGGGTGATGGGACCACTCGCGATTAATTGGAAACATAAAAATAATAAGTTTCCCCCCATTATCAACAATAATATTTTCTGATAGTTTGATAATATTTTGTACAACAATAATGGTTAAGGTCGAGAAGATCGATTGGAAGGTTTTTCATCACGAAAACTATAAATTTCAATGAGTTTTAACATGAGGCTTTATTTATTTTGATAGAATTGCAACCATATCAAAACATATTCCTTTTAAAAAAATAATATGCCAAGAAAAAGAGAAAGTAAATATTTTTTTAAAAAATCATCAAATTACACCAAGAAGTTCAACTATTAACATCACATTTAATTCTTTTTGAGCTAGTTACGAATAAGCCACTTATTTCTTAAAATAAAAGTTCAAATAACTTACGCGGAAAAGTTATTTAGAGCCTAGGCTCTGAACGATCAAATTAGAGCCTACATCAAAGATTTTACTAGATGAGATTATTTTGGTATCCAAATAACATCAAATGGATCATCTCGACATCAAGATATATGGACATGAGAAAAAAATGGATGTCAAAGTTTGGAAATAGTGCATCCTGTATCGCATTTTTTGACCGTCAATTTCCAATATTATCAACTTTTCATAGATCTACTCAATCTACACTATTTTTGAAGTTTTAAATTTTATAATTAAAAATAAAAATATATTTTAAAGCTATTACAAAAAATTTAAATATTAAAATCATATTTCTTGATAATATTTAAAGGTTGATTCAAAATAATTGATTGTTCAAACCCTCGACACTATACAAACCGCGCACCGATAACTTATTATCAAGGCACCAACTAAAATAAAGTTTTCAAGTGATTTCCTTTTTCTTTTAGGACTGATTTAATTAATTTTTAAATTTGAATTTGGATTTAGGGGAGAGAGAGATCGTGATGTGGAGGTGCGTTTGCGGAGCCAGGTGCCGTGACCTTTGTTGGGTGGGCCCTACCTTGTAGGAAAACTTAACCAGGGTCAAGACAGGAGGACATGCGCGATTTACGAACTGGTCCTACTGTTTTTACCCGCTTTATTACCTTCAATAAAGATATGTGAAAATAAATAATAAAAAATTATGGAGTTAGGGATAATGAAAAAAAGAAAATAAAAGAAAAGAAAAGGCCGAAGGGCTATAAAAAGGGGACAGTACGTGCGAGCAAGAGGTCCAGTCCCTCAACGCACTCTCTTCTCTCTCTTGCACACACTGTGAGGAGTTGCAGAGGAACAGTAAGAGGAAAACGCTTAATTCCGAAGCCTTGTTCTTCGTTCCAAAAGCTTCTTTTGAATACTTTGATTTCTTTTTTTTCACAGATAAAATAGCAGACAGAGGAGCCAGAGCCGATCTTTAGAAGGCGATTCTCTTGTTAAAATTCGAACTTGCATTTCCCCTTTCAAGTAAGCAAGAGCCGCGTAGAGCCGCTTCTGTTTTGCACAAATACTTTCCATATATCCAATTCTCCAAATACTCTGGTTCTTGTGGCGGTCTTTCAAATCACTTTATTTCCGCTTCTTTGTTTGCGGAAAATGGATATTTAACTTATCAGTTGCTTACAGCAAGGGCAACTTTCTTGTTTTTTCTTTTCTTTATAGTAAGTTACCAACTAGAGCGATCTATGGAAATTTTGCAGGATTTCTTCTGAGATGTTATAAGAAATAGAAATGCACAGTACTTTTCTTGAGGAATAGGTCAAAGAAATCACCTTTTTTTTCGAGCCGGTGCCTCTGTTACTCCTGATCTTCTTCTATAACCAAGGAAATCTCCTCAAAATATATTCACAGGAACAGAGCATTTTAGTCTGAACTCTGAAACAATGGTTTTCGTCAAATATCTACTCAATTCTAGTTCATGTTTGTAATTCCAGTTCTTTTTGGACATTTTACGCTCTGTTTTCTGCTTATCAAGCTTTAATGGAAGAGGAGCTCTCTTAAGTCAAATCCCGATCGAGTTTTCCTTACCTATTTCTTCTCCATTCTCTCTCTAAATCTGTACAGAAGCAGAGCTTCCTCCGAAGTTTGTATGGACAATAGCTTTTTCGAGATGGATTCCATTAAAGCTGAGAAAGCAAGCGCCATGACTAAATACAAAAGGATCCAAAAGATCGGCACTTTTTTCCGGTTCCTCGAGGTTTTTGTTGTCCTCGCCCTTTTTTCCTGGTTCTCCTCGTCGCTCCCAATCGCCGCCAGAATCGCCGTTTCCTACTTCCGTTACCTCTGCCTCGTTGCGGTTAGTCCCACCTTCGTCTTCATCCTCGGTAACGCCATCGTTATAACGTTAGTTGCAAAGTCGGGGCACTTCGGTCCTCGAGCTTCTTCCAATTCGTGCCCCGATATATACGACGAGTTCGTGACTCGCAGCGAAAGTCGCCGATTCAGAGACCCTCAACAAGGAGACAATCGCCGAGTTATTGATGAGAGTAGCCCAGCTATTGAGGCCGTGCCGGGGGAGATCGTATACGAGGACAAGGCCGTATGCGAGGAGAAACTGACAAGCCATCCTTGTACGGATAAGCACACGGATTCGGATAAGCAGGGGTTAGTGTATAGGAGGAGTCGGTCAGAGAAGACGCCGGAAGAGGGGGGAAACGGACGGAAAAGTGGCTTGAAGTTGCAGAGATCGGAGACCGAGATCTTAAAAGGGGAGAAACCCTTTGGGCGACGCGTGGATGGCTCTGATTTTGACAAGTATTCACAAGAAGAGTTCAAACTCACCATTGATACTTTCATAGCAGAAAAGCTGAGGATTCAAAGGGAGGAGTCCATGGCTATGGTTCTAAAGAACGTGATATGAAAGAGAGAGAGATCGTAACAATAATAAGACACGATATTTGAGGTTTTTTGTTTTCTTTATGTCACTAATATTGCAGAGAAATGGGTTTTGGTTCTGTGTTTTGTCTAGTAGTTTCTCACTCTTCTCTTTTGTTTTCCGTTTTGGTAATGCAATGTACAAAATGCTGTATCTGTACAGATTAGTTAATAACATGGGTACAAGAAGCTCAAGGAGCCATGAGTTTTCCTTATCTTGAAAGGCAGATCTTTATTTTTTTACTCTCGCAATATTTTTTGTTTTCTTTCTCAATTTGTTGAGACAATGATTCGGTGTTTTGTTATACTTGGACATCTGTGTAAGCTTTTCCTATGATAATGTAGCTCTGTTCCTTATTTTGTGTTTGGGCATACATATCTATGTGCTTTATGTATGTACATACATGGGCATTCCCATGATATTTATTCCTTTTGGCTCTCTCTCTCTCGCTCTCTCTCTGACAGTATTTCACCTTTTGATGGTCTGGTTCGAGACAAAGCATGTATTTTCATGATGAGAAAATATAATGGAAAAGAAACAGGAACGGCAAAATGTTAGTCATGTGCGCGGGGTTTTTAAAAGCAGGCTTTCCTTTTGAAGGTTCACTTTTCGCACAGACGGCAAAGTCTTACTTCTACAGGTCACTAACTCTCTTTCTCCATCTAAAGAATGCCTCTGTCTTTTCCTTATTTTTCCTAATTCGTATTATTATTTTCTCGTCTTAATCTTAATTTTTAATTGAATCTCTCTTTTGTAATGTGCGGTTAGGAGGTGAGTTTGGGATCATGGGAGCCAGATCGGGGAACAAATACTTGCTGGCTTCCATCAAAAGGTTTTTTTCTGAGTCATATTCTCTGCTTTCCATTTTTCCCTCTATTATTCGAATTTTACCTTTAAACAAGAATATGCTCCCAGCTTATTTTATTCAAAGTTGAAAATCCCATTACCATCCCTCCAACTAAACCCAATAATGTATTTTGCTAGCATATTTTTTCTGTACTCCCCTAGTTGGAAGGATTTGGAATCCTAGATGATTATTATCAAAAGACCTTATTTTTTTTTTTTTGAGTTCTCTACTACATCATATCTCACTTTTTAAAAATTCGACAGTTTCGATTCAATCTTGAGACATTATTTTTTCAAGTGCTTAGAAGGTGTAGTTAAGAATTTTTTTCATTGAGATTATTCTACGTGTTGAAGCCCAAATTTTGGGTGCAAAAACTAATGGGGTTTTACCCAAGGGTATAAAATATACTTCCAAGGGAATAGAATATTTTTCGAGTTTAAGTTTAAAAGTTTTGCTTTTTTTCGTTTCCTCATTGATCATAATGTTTTACCGATTGGTTTCTTTGTTTCTTAAAGAATGGAATTTCTTAACTCCTTGAGTTGCGCTTTTCTTCTTTTCTTGGACTTGAATGGTCGTGGATAAACCCTAATTTTGGTGGGCGATTCCAATTTGGAAGCAGCCTGTCTTTGTGGATAGATAGAGACAGATATATATCTAAAGTGACATATAATATACCGGTTTGGTTTAATGGATAGTTATACAAGGAAAATGGTTGGATAGGGCTGCGGCCCTATCAAAATAAGTAAAGCCCCACCCCTTTAAATTGATCATATTGAACGTTATGGTTGTACAAAAAAATTAAGATTTCAAATTCTAAAAATAGTATATATTACAACAAATCATCTAGAGACCTCAAAAATAAGTGTTTTCATATCCGTAAGATCTGTATTGTTTTTTGAGTTTCAAATATTTATTGTTGGGGTTGAAAATTAATTTTAGATCTATCATGAAGATTTCCAATGTCAAAAGTGCTTTCGACTGATGATTTAAGGTAAGGATTTATTTTGTTTTCATAAAGCCTAGGCCCTATAAAACCTTCATCTTTTACATAATGTCTGGATACATATGTACATTAAAAAATGGGTGGTTGGTTTTCTCGAGGCTTCTCTATTTATCAGTAAAAAAACCAATATCATTAAGACTAGTGCGGTTGTTGATGACCCACCCTTTGTGGGGCACATCTACTATTCCACCGCAAGGTCCAACTAGTCCCCAGTTTTAAATAGGAAAAAGGTCCAACTAGTCCCAAGTTTTAAATAGGAAAAAGTTTATAGAAGATCTCAACCTTATTTCTCTACGGGTAAGGTGCACCTATGAAGCTCACCAATGAAGGTTATTTTTATGCTGGAAAACGTTCAAATCAATAATCGACTCATAGACGTACAAAAGAAAGGGATTTGTAGTCCAAAAAATAGTTCATCTTCTAAAATATTATCTGGATTGTCCGTTTTTTAAATTTTCAAGTGTTTATAGATTTGTAAAATTTTCAAGTGTTTATATCTCTGTTTGATCGTCACCATTTTTGGAACTTTAAATTAATTGGGTGTCACAATAGATTTTCATATCATCGCATTTTTTTGACATGGTTTTGAGGTGCACTTTACTTCAATAGCCTCACCCTTTTAAATTTGGGAAGCTCACATTAAATTGATCAAAACACATGCGATAGTGTGTTGGTCCCAATTTTCCTCGGGAAAAGTTAGTGAACCTTTCTAAATGCTTGTCAGGGTATATTTGGATATAATTATTACTGATATTTGAAAATATAACAAGCAGTACGTGATTTGGCTTGGGCTACCTAAGTGGGTTAAGATTGTCAAACTCAAATTATATGTGGATTGTTTACAATTTGTACAATGTCACAACTATTCTTACTCATTATATGTCAAATTGGATTGCTCAGAGCGAGTCACAAAATAAGAGATTTTTTTTTTATGCAACTTTGTGTCTAATCAATGACACTCTTATAACCACCCATTTTGAAATCTAAGGTATAAAAACGATTATAAAATCTTTGTACAAAAGGTACATAGTCTCTTTATAGGCAATCACAATGGTATGGATTCATATGATGTGCATGCTTTATAGGCAATCACAATGGTATGGATTCATATGATGTGCATGCTTTAAAGGTGTACGAACACCCACTAGCATTTCATATTCAAAGAACATGGATGCTCACTATTGCATTTAGTATTTTAATTTTAATTAAAAAATATAAAACAAATGAATCAATAAAATTAAAGCGATGAAAATAGCTTAGAATACTTTAAGGGTAGTTTGCTCAATTTATCTTGAGGTATTTTTTATTTTTTTGCTTTTAAGATAAAAACCATTTAATTAGATTTTTAAGAAAATAAGTTTATTTAAAAGAGATTGTCTACAAAGAGGCCATGTAGCTTTTGTACTTAGAGGTCATAGTCTTTTTTCTCTTAAAATTAGTAAGAAGGGGTTGTAAGAGTGTTATTGATTTGACATAAAGTTTAAATATTTTTTTTTTCATACTTGGTGACTCACCCTAAGCCATCTATTTGACATTTGAATAGTGGGAATAGTGGTGACTTCCTTGTATAAAAGATAAAGAGTTGCGGTTTGTATAGAGCCTACCTTCAACACCAATGTGGATTCAATATTGAAAATCTTTGTGATAGCTTTAAAATATTTATCTTTGGGAAAAGTTTATATAGAGCCTAGCCTCTAATCAATCAAATTCGGGCCTACCTCAAAAATTTCACTAGAAAAGGTTGTTTTGATGCTCAAATATCTTTCAATTGCATCAAGATGCATGAACATGAGAAAAAAATGGATTTTATGTTTTAGAAATAGTGTATCTTGTAACGCATTTTCGGACCGTTAGTTTTTAAGATTTTTAAGTTCTTATAGATATATCGATCTACAATATTTTTTAAGCTTTGAACTTTATAAATAAAAATGAAAATATATTTTAAGGCTATCACAATGGTTTCCAATATTGAAACTACATTTCTCGATACTATTTGAAGGTAGGCTCTAATTTGATTGTTTAGAGCCTAGGCTCTATACAAACCTCACCCTTTAAATTTTATTTTTTATTATTCTATAAAGCTAAATTCCATCCATCAAAAGCTAATGCTATGTGGATTTAGAAGAAAGATGGGTTAAGAGAGAGAAAGCTGGGTAGAGAAAGTAGAGAGATGAAGAGAGACTAAAAACCCACATATGCACAGCTCTAGGTAGGGGATTTCTTGAACTTCATTTGGAAATTGGGGACTTTAGAAATTTCAAATCTTCTATTACATTTTTCTATTTTATTTCTCCTTTTCCTTTTTTGCTTCCCGAAAGTTAGACTGGACTACTTTTTAGAGAGAGAATTTAAAGAAGGGAATAATATGTTGCTTTTTAGGAAGAGAAAGTGAAGAAATTTTTAGGAGAGAAGGCAAGAAAAGAGAAAAAAATATTAGATTTTGTTAGAGAGAGAGAGTGCGAGGAGAGAAGAGCTCCAGTTTGAGAGAAAAAGTGAAAAAAACTTGCGCTCAGTGAGGGGAAAAATGAGATGGGGCAAAAGAGAAGAGGGCCGGACTGATAATTGCCTCTCTCAAAAGTTTCTACCATAAGGCCTAGGCTTTTTGAAAACAAAATAAAGCCTCACCTCGAATCTTTGTCTAAATCAATTTTCAACTGTGATAATGAAATTCAAAACTCAAAAATTGGTACACATCTTAAATATCTATGAACACTTATTTTTAGGGTAAAATGAACAGTCTAGATAATTTATTATATATACACTATTTTTATAGCTTGACATCTTTTTTTTTTTCATAATCGTAATGTTCAGGCCAAGATGATCCATGAAAAAGTTTTCTAATACTTGAATTGCAATTTTGGATGAGTTATAAGATGAGATTTTACTTATTTTCATAGGGCTGCAGCCCTATAAAACCATTTTCCTTTTATAATTTTAGATTTCACCCCATTAACAACTTTATTTGAATACTGTTTAAACAGTCTACATTAAGCAAATAAATTTATTTTATTATTATTCTTATTTTTGACATTTTACTGGTGGAAATAAAGGGTGGGATGCTATGTTGGGGCATCCGCCTCTCCAACTACTGATTCCACTAACCCATTCGTAAGCAGACAGTTTCAAATTAAAATTAATGTAGGATTGTCTTTTATCCTAAATGGTCATAAATTTCGTAGGCATAGCGAATGCGAAGGATAGGTTAGAAAAACAAGTAAATAGTAGGCATTACATACATGGTTTGTATACAATGAGAACATTTACCTTTTGTATAAGGAGGTCACAACTACTTATAATCATCCGATGTGTAATATGATAGATATCTTGGGCGTGTCATAAAGTCTGAACTTTTTTTTTTTCAGCTTTGA